ATCTGGCGCTTGCTGTTGAGGCCCGGTAGCGCGCACTGCGATCTGGCGCTTGCTGTTGTAACCCGGCAGTGCCCACTGCGATCTGGCGCTTGCTGTCGAAGCCCGGTAGTGCACACTGCCATCTGGCGCTTGCTGTTGAGGCCCGGGAGTGCCCACTGTCGTCAGTCAGACCTGTGCTGAGGAGGATGACGAGGAGAAGGAGAAGGAGGAGAAGCTCTCTCTCTCACTTTCTCTTTAAGTTTCTATTTCTCTTTCTCTGTCTTTCTCTCTGCAGAGCGCGCCCTGAGCGCACCTTTCTGGAGGGTATTTCAGAGCGCGCGCGAGCGCGCCGTCCGCGCTCGCCCTGCTCTCTTTCTTTCTGTCTCTGTCTCTCTCTCTCTTTCTCTTTAAGTTTCTCTTTGTCTGTCTTTCTCTCTGCAGAGCGCGCCCTGAGCGCGCCTTTCCGGAGTGTATTTCAGAGCGCGCGCGAGCGCGCCGTCCATAGCACACGAGCCCGCGCTCGCTCGCCCTGCTCTCTGAGGAGGAGTTGCGGCGCCACCATTAAAATTCTAACAAGCCTCACCTGACAGGTGGGAAAGACAGTGTGTTCTGAGGGTGTCCAAAATGACGTCCGAGGCGAGTCGCGTGGTTTGTGTCTGTTTCACTTGTTTGAAACGTTGGGACGGTGGACTGAGGCCGTTCGCTTTTGAGCAAAAGAGGGCCAGTGCATCCAGAACGCTTTCTAGGCCAGGCCTTTTGTTGAGCCTGTGAACTGCCAACAGGTTCCGATGACGATGTTATGGTTATGAAGCTGATGACAATGTTATGAAACCGATGACAACGTTATGACACCGATGACAGTCTGATGAAACCGATGACCATGTTGTGAAGCTGATGATAGGTGCTGCCCCACTCCCCCACCACCCCAATTTTAATCACATGGTCATCGGATGACAATGTTATGAAACGGATGACAATGCTATGAGACCCAAAACAAAGTTATGAAACCGATGATCATGCTATGAAACCGATGAACATATCATAACCTTCCCGGAGAACCTCCATCCCTTGGGTCACTAGTCACCCCGCGCCTCACGGGAGCCAAACCATATATCAGTGCAACCTTCAGATTTGACGAACTTCTGCCCAAGAACATCAAGTGGGAACATCTAAAAACTCCGCAAGAATGACAATGATAAGACTAAGGCTGATCCAGTCGTCAAGGACGACTATATACTTTGTCAGACTGCCCGTGAAAAACAGTTGGACTAAGGCCAGTTCGAAGGGCAAAGTAAAGCCGTAGTTGCCACGCAGCAAATCCACAAAATCTCTCCGGACCTTTCAAACGGAAGGGCCGTCGTATAAACAGTGATGATCAGTGGTGCGTATGTATAATGTAAGGGCCTCGGAGATTCCTGCTTGCACCCCTCTTCCTTCCAGAATGGCCATAACCTTCAGCAAATCTCACTGACACATCCGGCGCAAACACTCCAACGACATGCCAGCGGCGCCAGCAGGAACGCTGCGCACCAGCAAGGTGTATACCTTGGCAACCAAACTAAGTTGGAGGAAGGGTGGGTGGCAGTGTCGAGTCATTATGCCGACGCCGTTCCTTATACTTCGTCCCCCTCTACTCTGCGTGAATGATTATCCGCCGACCCCAGCCGATGGGGGAGCGCGCCAGAGAATCCTGTACGATTGTTTCCAATCCAAATCCAATCCAATTGTTTGTTAGCTAATTGTTTGTTACCGCCGCCCAAAGGTGACGTTTGGCAGTGCCTAAATTAGCTTGTGGTTAAAGCTGTGGCGGGGCGAGCGTTTGAAAAGGACCTTCGAAAAGGAAACCTTACATTGAGATCGCTCAAAGGAGGCGCAAGGCGGGCTCGAACCCGGGACCTCGCAGGTTGCGAGGAGGCAAGCCCCGGAGCGCACCCAAAAAGAAGACAGTCACTCTTAAAGGCAAAAATCATTTTCCGAAAATGCTTTTCATTCTTCGATCGTTTGTTAGCTACTACTGCGACCGCCGCCCAAAGGTGACGTTTGGCAGTGGCCACTGTTTCGACGACCGTTTGGGGGTAGTTTTGGTCCAAAATTTGATTGGGTAAGGGCGTGGTGGAGGGAGCGTTCGAAAAGGACGTTGGAAAAGGAAAACGTGCACTAAGACCGCTCGAAGGAGGCGCAGGGGGGGCTCGAACCCGGGACCTCGCGGGTTGCGAGCAGGGCACCCGGACCGTATACGAACATTTAAAATGGTCATGCTTGAAGGAAAAAGTCATCTTCCGAAAATGATTTTCATGACTAAAATTGGCGCCGGTCACGATTAAAGGCAAAAGTCATCTTCCGAACATGATTTTTAAATCGACTCTAAACGGGCCGGTCCGATCCAAATCGGGACAAGGCGAATATCATCACGGGACAGGGAGAGTTTAAACGGGTTAAAATCGACTATAAACGGGCCGGTTCGGTCCAAATCCAGGTATGAGCACCGGCCAAAAAGGAAACCTGAAGCTGTTATCGTCCGCAGGCAGCGCAGGGAGGACTCGAACCCGGGACCTCGCGGGTTGCAAGCCGGCAAGGGTCCTCGGATCGCACCGTAACAAAAAATGAAACGGTGCACGGCCAAGAGAAGGCGAACATCATCACAGGACAGGCGCATGATTTTATACTTGTGTCCCATTTGTCTCCCAGTAAGCTCTGGATGCTCTGAGCGCGCTGGCCGCATGATTTTATACTTGTCTCCCACTTGTCTCCCAGTAAGCTCTGGATGCTCTCAGTGCTCTAGCCGCATGATTTTATACTTGTCTCCCGTTTGTCTCCCACTTGTCTCCCAGTTGTCTCCCAGTAAGCCCTGGATGCTCTCAGTGCTCTGGCCGCATTCACGCTTGTCTCCCATTTGTCTCCCACTTGTCTCCCAGTAAGCTCTGGATGCTCTCAGTGCTCTGGCCGCATGATTTCATACTTGGCTTCCATTTGTCTCCCACTTGTCTCTCTGGATGCTCTGTCCTGCTTGTGTTTGACAGGTCATTCTTGAGAGGTTGTCACAAAAATTTGTTATCCAAATGTGGTGGCGCCAATCATGTTGCAGTGGGAACTGACATGAATGTTGGGGTTGCACTGACTTCTGCGACCCGGTGTATGGGCCTTTGAGTTTTTGCACATAGAAAGAGCCCTTTATCACAACAGATGCTTTTTGCATAATCGGAGCCTATTCCTCATGCACCACAAGCGGACGCAAACAACCCAGGCGACCAGTGACTTTCAGAGAGTTTTTGAACATTTTTACATCTTTGAACAGTCAGTGGATATGAACAAGCACTGCCAAAAAAAGTTTAAACGAAATGACCAAATCAATTTTTTTGCCCTTGCACACACACGCAGTTGAAATCTGGAGCTAAATGAGGCTGGATTTGAAGCTTTTCAAAGAGCTCCAGCAGCTTGCTTGGACGACCCGAAGATGAAGCCACCTAAGCCCTTCATAGTCTTGAAGGATTTTCCTTATTTCGCAGAGATCCTCGCAGATCCTCGTTTCGTTTTGAATCACCACAAGCTTCTTTCGAGTTGCTTTGCGTCGAAATACACTATTTTCACATATTTTCACCACAAGCGTTGCATTGCTCGATTTGCTGTTTAGGTTGGCAGCTACTTTCGTGCGGATGATCAACGAAGCAATCACACACTCTTACGTCAAGTGTTGCGACCTATGGCAATATGGCAAACACAGGTCAATGCAGTACATGGCTAAGCCAAAGAAGGCAACTGCGTAGGAAGGAAAAAGCCAAGCGCAGTGTCCGTGCTCTGAGGAAATCTTCATTTTGATTGGGTCTGCGCATTCGTGTTTACAAGTGGGGCAACGTATGTCACAACCTGGATCCATAAATTTCATGTTTTAGCCCTTGTACGGCGTCCCATTGTAAAGTCAATGAAAAACAGAATTTTAATGCTTTCCCTTTGAATCTTGTATGTGCGTATACATGGTGGACTATAATTTTCTTCCTCTAGGAAATACTGCTGGCCATATTGTTCGGAGATCTCATTTTTGAACATTGCTCTGTTTGGGGTCTACGCTGGTATAATTTTTAATGGTTTTGAAGACTCTCAGGGTGCACTTCCCCATGGGACGCCGGTGTTGAACATGTTGGAGAACTCATTCCCCAACTGATGAAAAAGAAACAAACTTGTTCGCATGGGACGCTGAATGAAGCGAGTGTTAATCAAAACCCTTATATGAAAAAGTGGAACAGATGTATAAAGATATCGTCTCTTTAATGTGTTGGTCTTGTTTGTCAAGCAAACCCATTCCACTGAAACTGGTACCGTTTCTGTATCGTTTTCTACTGTTTGTGCCAAAAGCCCTCCCAGTCACCGTCGCCTTTCTTTTAACTCTTCTTCTTCCACACAGCCTTTGGTCCTTGTTGGAACCGGGTGGCACGGTTAGCCCCCCAGCTGTGCAAGAAGTTCTGCCTCCCAGCCTTTGTCTTCAACAGAGGACTCAAAATGACAGAAGCGGAAAACCAATGAGACAAAGGCTTCCCTTTGCATACTTTTGGGCACAAGTGCGATTCGACATAGAACCGGCAAACCGGCTCAGCATTTGGAGGGGCGTGTCCACCCCAAGCTCTGACCATCCATTCAATGCATTGCTCTGGGTTGGGTCATTCAAATCATACTCTTTTTCCTCGTGTTTTTGGATATAGATCAATCCGTTAAATATATATATATATATATATATTGGTTCCATATTATGAAAAGTGTCACCAATGAGACCTCTTCTCACTTACTTCCTCACCCACCCCGCCGGCATCCCCTTCTCCACACCAGCTCCGATCCAGGCTGTCTTCGCAGCTCCGCATGCGAGGCACGACCGCTGTGGTCGAAGAGACGCATCAAGTTCTCAGAGCCCATCGCCGGCACTCCAATAACTTCCGATGACCATCAGACCATATCACTTTTGCAGCTCCACATGCGTTTTGTGCTGACGGTTCGGAACTTCAGGTTTTGGAACAAAAATTGTAAGTTCTGAACTTCATGTTGTTGAAATAAACCAATTAAACATGGTTCCATATTATGAAAAGTGTCACCAATGAGACACCGTTTTCAATTGCCCCCCGGAAAACTACGTACTTTGTCTCCTTTTCCTGGAGGGTCCATCTTTTCGTATACTTTTCCCACGCTTAGAGTGTCTTACAGGGCAGAACCTCCAAAAAAGGCTAAACAGTGTAACTTCCACCCACTCACAGCCCTCCCTTCAACGTCTGCTGCGAAGCTTGTAAGGCTGTTTGTTTGTGTTTTGGGAAGCGGCCCCGCCAAAGGGTTTGAGTTGTTGAAAACAGGTTTGAAACAGAGCGCAGGCCCCTTAGAGGACCCATACCTCACACCACCTCTTCTCACTTACTTCCTCACCCACCCCACCGGCATCACCTTCTCTTTCAATTGCTCCCCGAGGAAATTACGTACTTTGTCTCCTTTTCTTGGAGGAAAACCTCAGACGGGGGGGAAACCTCAGGCCACCAATTCTCCGCACCCCACACATTACATGCGCAAACCAGCAACCCGCTGCAAGAAGCCAAGACGTGTCAGCCCAGCGACTGCACGCTCGCAAACCTCGCCGGCTCAGCGGTAAGCCTCCCAACGAGGTCCTCGCAGCAGATCGCCGGTCCGCACTTACCGCCTCCCTTGCTACCGCACGGCTCCCTTCGCACCCGACACTCACGCAACTACCTGTCCTGTATCATCACCCACTTCCTTCCTCCAGCCATCCCCGCACTGCACTACGGCCGATGCACACACGATCTGACTGGCGTCAGCCCTTAAATCTGGCCAGGGGCCCAGGCCTCAGCCGTGGCATCCCGGAAGGTTCTGTCCTCTCCGAAGGAGAGAGCCGCTGCCGCCGACCTCAGGGGGTTAGACGCCGACCCAGGGGGTTCGACCTCCGCCCCCTGTGCTTTACAGTGGATTCTGCGTGTGACGTGCAAAAAAATGTGTTTTACAGGGCTTTGTGGGGGCGGTAGATCAAAAATTTTCGTGGTGGGAAAATGGTCACGAAATGCAAAAACAATGTGTTCTCCAAGGGTGGCGTCGGTAACGCGCGCCGCGCGGACATGCATAATCGGCATTTTTTGGGTGATGGGCCCGTGTCAACATAAATTGCGCAAAATGTGCCCGAAGATGATCCAACAGAGGTCCCCAAAATGACCCCACATAGGCCCAAGATGGGCCGCCATACGCCCAAGATGGGCTCAACATAGGCCCAAGCGGCCCACGTTGACGACGACGACGACGACAAGAATCAACAACAACAACAACAACAACAACCAGTGGTGGGCCCCTGGCCGGCTGTCGGGCGTCAGCCCTTAATTTTTTTCTATATTTCTCTATATATATATGATATATGATGATATATGATATATGCATTGCATGTATATATGTTATATAAAAATGCATATGCAGTCGTGTTTATGGGCTATTTTGGAATGACCTCAAGTAAGTTGTTGCGTTCATTCCAATTTCCAATGATTGTGTTCTGCTATGAGGCTGTGTTGTTCCCGCATTCTTTGAGCAAAACCCATATCCCCAAAGCAGACTCCGTTTTGTATAATGTTTACAAAAGAACTGGTTTCGGGGCAAGCGGGTGGGTTGGAGGGTGTTGATGTCCGTGCTGTGGAATCCTATGAGGCTGATGCTGCTTGTGGTGGGGACGCTGCATTTCCAGACGAAATCTTGTACTGCACAAAAAACATCCGGAGGCTAGTACATGTGAAAGTTGCACATGTTGGGTGTTGCTTCGTGATGGACGGCATGATTTTCAATCTGTGCTGGTGCCTGCCTAGAGTCCTCACATCTTCAGTTCCTGAATCTGGATTCTCTCCCCATCCTTTAAAATCCCAAAATCCTTCTCTCTCCTCTCCCTCCCTTTCCCTCCCGCCTTCTGTTTGAATTCCTTCCTGGTGTCGATTTTGAGTTTTGAGTCTTGAGGCTCTCGATTTCAATTCCCTTTGCACCCCACATCTCCCAACACAAACTATTACTCTCCTTGAACTTCTTTGAGCTTGAGCCCGCCACAGCAAGGAATCTGCGAGAACCTTCACTGCGGTGTCCATGACCTGTGGCTCCCATCCAAACAATCTCCTCATGAAACTGGATCCAAAGCGCCGCATGAGGCTGCGGGCTTCATGTGACATGTGAGGCTTATTGAGGCTTGGGCCGGGTTTCCGATTTTTGGCAAAGAGTCCAATGCTTCAAACCAGTGGTGGCCTTGGAGAACAGTCGCTGGGTCTTGTGTCCATGTGGGTTCAATAAGCAAGAATATTGCTGATTGTGGCAGTGACATGCGAATGGCAGCACTTTATGTTCTTGACCCTGTGACTGCTGCACTTTACACAATGTCCTAAGCCCATCTAAAATCTGAATCGCAGCTTGTGCGTGTCAAGACTGAGTCAAGACCCAGGTTTTGGATCACAGGTGTTGGGCGATATTGTGTCTGACATCTCTCTGTGGACCATTCAGTGCTTTTGACATCTTTCAACTTCCGTCGGTGCAGCTTTTTTGTCCTCAGGCCATCTCTACAGCACTTCACCGCCTGAAGTCACACCCCGAGTTTGTGGTTTCGATTCTCCGAACTTATGCCCCAGCGCTGCTGAGCGCTTATGGCTGTGCTGCCTGCATGGAGGGCTTCATGGTGCTCCCGCCTTTACATCTTTCTCTCTCATGTTCTGACTGCGCTTGAAGACGTTCTCTGACCAAAGCTTGCCATTGGTAGGTGCAAATTCCCTTGGGCCGGTTCCATCTCATAGCTTCCAAAACTCACACTTAGGATCACTTCGGACAAGCAACTCTAATGTGGATGTTGGCCTAGCTGCTTCGAAGACTATGCAGGAGAGAGAGAGAGAGGCAAGGTTTGGAGAGACATTATTATTAGGTGTGAAATATGTTGAATCTGCTTTGTTTCTACTTTTTTCTTCCAATCTGGAATCGCACAGCACAGGACACCTGCTCCTGGCCATGCGTGGCTTGCTGCGCGCGAGGGGGACTTGCATTATTAAGGGGCTGCGATGTGCCGGGTTGCCGGCAGAAAGAGAAAGCTGATTTGATGATGCCAGCAGGCGACACAATTCAGCCAACAAATACAAACAAGACACGTCTTGAATCTCTGTAGCTTTTCTGCTTTGGATTGTGGAATTGCAAGTTTTGCTTTCAGGGGCCCAATGGGGCGTCAACTTTCATGGCTTGGGACCGTGAGAACATGCAAGAACGCAACTTCATAGAAAAAACTTTGCCGGGAGACTCTGTACAGCAATGCACGGGCATGGTGAAAAATATGTCAAATATAAGATCATGCAGAACATGCAATCGGCTAGAAAAAGGATGAACAGTTCAGGGGAGCAAGTGATGGACTTCACCTGACTTCACTGCACTCTGCTTCCAGCCCCACGAGGCCTGCAAAGCCATCCAGCGAGCCGAAGGTAGCATACCGCAGGACGCGCAACACCCGGAAGTCCTCATCATCCTGCCAACCCAGGTGAAGCGCTGATCATTATGCAGGTTCCATAGTTCGACCGGTGGCAAAAGGAAAAGAAGTAGCAGCTACGCTAAATCCAGCTACAGTGTTGGGCTCTCCATGGGTTGTTGCTCTGTGCGTCAATCTTCGGCCATTTTTCTAGGGATGACGCCACGAAGAGAGGGGGTTTCGCGGATGATTTTCCTCCGAGAGCTGTGCCACACTGTCGGAGGCTGCATTCAGCACCGCTGCTGTGGCAACATCCTTGTCCAGCACACCCCAGCCCAAACTCCATCTCGCGTGCTTTCGGGATAAGACACTCACGGGCACTGAGGCACTTGCCGTCACAAGACCTTGTGAGTCCAAAAGCTGCTCATAGCCTCGACCCACACTCACAGGACCACAAACTCAATGCGGCTGCAAACCCGATTCTTGACCTCGCCTTTCAATTGGAAACCCTTTCGCGCCTCGCCTTCGATCGAAGACTCAAAGACCAGTTGGACATCACTGCCAAAGCTGCGCCGGGACAGGCGGCTGGAATCCCTCTCCTGAAAGTGCTGCAAATAGGCGCCGCATGACGCTAATGAACCTCTTGATTCACTCTTCTCTGACCCTGCCTTGCCACTGAGCACAAAGGAAATCTGAAGATAGATCTGGGAGTTGAAGCAGGCAGCACTCAGTACGAGAAACCCTCAGAAATAGTCTTGCCTATCTTGCCTTTACAAATGCAGCACCATTGGAGGGACAACGAGCCTGCATCCAAATGAACACTCCGAGACAACAAATGGACCTTGGAAGTCGTCCATTGGAGGCAAAAAAAGGCAGTAAGTTCCAGCAGTACAAAGCACACTCAAGGTCAAGAAGATGCGGCAACAAGACGTTGGCACAGAAGCTGCTCCGCTGCACAATAGGTGCAAAGGCCTACCCTGGTGAACATTGGACTTGCTGACATGCTTCGAGCGCCGGCATACTTTGCGACTTAAGCTTCTACCTGCCATTCTACCACACGTTTGAGCTGAACATAGGTCATCACTTCATGGGTGATCTGCAGTCAATTTACTCTCTCCACGTGAATCCGCTGTGTTTCCACCTTGTGGAGCTCCGTAGGCAGCCCGTCTCCCCATGGCGGATTACACCCGGTAGGGTGCCATCGATACTCCGCCCATCCATGAAGGGGAAAACTGGAAACTGAACCTCCTGTTGCTAAAATAAATAAGGGTATCGAGGTTTACGAAGAATCTGCACATGTGGTTCGTGCAACACTGTTCTCAATAGTGCGGGAAAATGGGCTATGTGGAGTTGAAACGTTTGCTCTCAAAATCCATGTGCTGCGCCCGGCCAACAGCCAGCCCTCGTTGTTAGGTTCTTCCCTCACAACGGCCACTCCTACTCGTGGTGCCAAAGTTGTGAAGGAAAGCGGAAGAATCGTGATTTAAAAAAAACTATACCGGCATAGACCCCAGATAGCACTTCAAGAAAAGTTAGACAGCACGGCAAGAGCGGGAGACAAGCTTGGGAGACATCCCATTCAAAGCGGGGAAAAGGATGGAAAAGGTAAACACGACCTAAATAGTCTAATAACAGCGTCCGCGTCAAATGCCAAGGCGGCAGCGGCAGCCAAGAGCGAAATCACGAAGGGAGACAAGCTTGGGAGACAAGCGGCAGCGGCAGCCAACAGCGAAATCATGAAGGGAGGCAAGCTTGGGAGACAAGGCGGCAGCGGCAGCCAAAAGCGAAATCATGAAGCACAGACAAGGCGGCAGCGGCAGGAGCGAAGTCATGAAGGGAGACAAGCTTCACAGACAAGGCGGCAGCGGCAGCCAAGAGCGAAATCATAAACGGAGACAAGCTTCACAGACAAGACAGCAGCGGCAGCCAAAAGCGAAATCAAGTTTGGGAGACAAGGCGGCAGCGGCAGCCAAAAGCGAAATCCTGAAGGGAGAAGCTTGGGAGACAAGGCGGCAGCGGCAGCCAAGAGCGAAATCATGAAGGGAGACAAGCTTGGGAGACAAGGCGGCAGCGGCAGC